CACAAAGAGATTATAGTAAAGGTTTAAGAATAGAAACATATGGGAAATCTGATAACGCACAGTGTAAGCCAAGACAGTCAATGTTTATCGAGAATCTAAAGAAATCTCCATACAGTATATTTGGCCAGATGGGTGTTGTATAATTAGTAGCATATGATTAAGGAAATCACCTGTATTGGAGTACAATAGACTTTAGTCTCATGGAGAAGATTCTTTTCTTTGGGATCAGTGATTGTGAAAAAACGTCATGACATATGCTTATACTTATGCTCAATAAACTCGTAATCAAATGCAATATGATTATTAATTATGTTATTTTATCACATGTATAAATATTTGCATAGGTATTAATATATACTAGTATGCTTTTTTAGATGCAATTGTGTACGTTATGCACCTAAATTGTCAGGACTTGACAACTGGGATTCAATGTTACACTATTGTGCAGGTTAGCATCACATTGTAAACAAATATTAATGCTACGCAATGGTAATTTGTTCAGCAAAACGAATTCGCGTCATAATGTATTATAAATTGTTATTTTTTATATATATCATTTACATGTACATCATTTTAAGTCTGCTTAAGCATTCTACATTTTTTCTATTTCTAATATTATCTGGGACATAAGTTATCGTATAGCCCAGATATTATATATTAAGGATAACGAATCCTATCTAATACGTTCTCGAGTTTGAGTCATTTGGTTTGCTTGTTACATTTTATTGATAACTATATATTGGAACTGGAAGCCTGTGGTAATCGCTTAGAATATGAGAAGTCTGGGGTTCGAATCCCAGTCCAGGCAACCGAAAACAGTGTCTTTTTTTAGTGAAATGAACTTTTTTCTCAAGAAATCAGTCAAACTATGCAAAGGAAGGATCGTCCATGGCCGAGTGGTTAAGATCGTTGACTTCAATTCACTTGGGCCTCACCAATGTAAGTAAGAATCGCACCAGGGACTTAGATCCTCACATGCTCGGTGGTCTACTCGTGTGCCTAAAATAATCCCCTACCATTGGTGCAACTTGATACCCAATCAAAAAGGGTTGGGTATGAAAAGTATGGTTTTGTTTAAAAAATGAAAGAAAAGAAAAAAAATGTAAATGATATTTAATGTAAGTTAGAAACTATAACAAAGCAAAATTCCATAATGTATCACATTTAACCAGGAATAGTAAGGAATAAAGGCGATAAAAGTGATCAATATTTTCACATCATTCTTATGCTTAAGTCGTTCAAGATTCCCTACACATGAACACCAGTATTAGTATCTGGAACAGATGTGAGGTGTTTGATTCTGTTGTTAAAACCACTAGTCTTAAAGGTTTATAAAAAAAAATGTTAAGTAATGGGATAACAACGTGACATCTAACATCTGTAATATTAATTATAAATATATTTATTTATTTATCTATTTATTTATCTATTTATTGTTGTCTGTTTATTGATTTATTTATTAATTTTTTTTTTTATTTATTTATTTATGTTGCATCAATATGTATGCATGTACATAAAATTCACATAAAAACGCATATTAGAATGTACAATGACATTTATTTTTAATTATATACATGTGACAATGTTTGAATCTACAGCTATCTTCTTTAAAAATATACCACTGATATTTTCCAGTCAGTGTTGTATTATGTTTTATATTGCACACAGGTTTCGTAAACATATAGCTACGATATGATTTCAATCATGGAACTTTTTACTGTGTTCCTCGCAGTATATGTATTCTAGAATTACAGGTAAATCAAGATATTAGATATTTCTAAACCTAGCATGTAGACATTACATAATTATAATGATTACGCATGTACAAAAAAGTATGAAAAAATTACAAAAGGTTATAACTCCAACTTAAATTTATAACAAAATTGAGCGATACAGTATACATGTAGTTTCATAAACACTTCACTTTTCCGCAATAAAATCTATCCATTTATGAAGTTTCACGTTGATATTTCAATTTCTTTTTGAGTTTTGACCAATATGGACCAAGAGAAAAATTTACTATGAAAATCATATTTAATCAACATTGTAAAATTATTCAACTCGGTTGCTACGGATATTTTCAGCTAGTCTATATTTGCTTCTTTACTCAGCCATCATTGTATCGTTGTTGTGATCGTGTGATTATCTTCTTGTACCTTTCTTTTATTTTGATTCTGTGCTGGTCAACCAAATCGCAAGCACTAATTCCAAATTGTTAGAAATAATCAACTCTATTTAGAAATAACTAACTCTATAAGAAATGGCTTAATGTGGAGTCGGTAACTTTGAAGTGAACTGGCAACAAGACCGTACGTTGATCTTCTGCAAGAATTTGTGAAATATGGTTTCTCGCTGAATGTCGAAGCATGAATTATGTTAATTTTCTATTACATACATGTATATCTTGATGAAAATTGGCAATGACTGATATGTGACACGTCTCAATGACTTTACATTGTGAATGATAAATCAAATGAAACAAATGTTTCATTCTCCTCAAAGTTCAATCATAAGAAAAATGCACTAAATGTTTTTTTCTTAAGATAAAAGATTCAACATTCAAGTGAAAATTTACATGTAATGTGATATTTCTCTAAAGTACCACAGTCAAAACGAAATACCTGGAATTTCAAAACATGTAAGCATCAGCTATATTGTTTTAAGCCCAAAATCTTGTTTAAGTCCCGGACCCAAAGTTATAAAAACATTTATTTGAGTTCTGTCTCTAATCTCAGGAGTTCATTGGCAGTGTACATTCTGTACTTGTTTCTGATCAATCAGATTACCGAGATCGATTCTTTATAACCTTGATCAATGACGTCTTCCCCACAGAGAACCATGTCTATAGAAACAAGCATTTGATAGTATTGCGGGCAATACAGTAGTCCCCTACCGGTCCCTCAAAAAGTTCTTTAATTGTCATACACTCCTGTGTATTGCCATTTATAATGAATTTGAGGATGAAGTCTGTATTTTGAAAATATCGACCACAAAACATAATAAAATAAGTTTGTCTATATCACAGTAATGTGTTAAGTTTCCATGCTTAGTAAGGAAATTTATGTTTATACAACCTTGTCATATTATTACGATGTGGGATTTTAAAGTTGGAGTGAAAAATACCAGTTTCTCGAAAAAAAATCTAAGTTCAAGGGGACATAATTCTGGAAATAGTCTTGCTAGAGTACTTAACCTTCTCAAAAATGTCGAGTTGATAATAAGAAACATATATATGAAGTTTGAAGTAGATACATTAGGAAATAAAGAAGTTATTTAAAAAAGACAACATTTTTTCCCCTAAAAAATCTAAGTTCAAGGGAGGTAATACTGATATTTTTTGTGCTAGAGTTATAAACCTTGTCACATATGATGTGGTTGATGACCAGAAACTTATATTTAAAGTTTGAAGTAAACACCTTAAGAAATAAAGAACATATAGTGAAAAAGCTGAAAAATTTAAATCAGAAATCTTGAAATTCAGGCTATTTGTTGCCATAGCAACCAGATTTTTCAACATAGGAAGAAAAGAAAAAGATGTGCATAATCTCCAGACTGCCATCTACCCATATTTCAAGTTTCATAAAAATATTTTCAGTACTTTTTGAGTTATCACTGGATCCAGTTAATGTGTTAAATTTGCCATATTTTCAGACTATTTGTTGCCATAGCAACCAGAATTTTCAACATAGGAAGAAAAAAAAAGACGTGCATAATCTCCAGACTGCCATCTATCCATATATCAAGTTTCATAAAAATATTTTCAGTACTTTTTGCGTTATCGCGGGATCCAGTTTTGTGGACGGACGGACTGACAGACTGACAGACAGACAGACAGACGGACAGACAGACGGACAGACAGACAGACGGACAGACGGACGGAGGGTAAACCTAAAGTCCCCTCCGGTTAAACCGGTAGGGGACTAACAAGCATTTATCATAGTAGTGCAAGTAATACATAAGTCCCCTACCGGTTAGAACGCCAGCAACATTCTGAAGGGACATTGACCATTCAATTATGCCATTGAATGAATGAATGAATGAATGAATGAATGAATGAATGAATGAATGAATGAATGAATGACATGAATGAACTTAAATCTTTTGAGTTCTTAGTTTGTTTGTATCATAGTAATGTTCTACAGTGATCGGAAGTAACACGTGCTTGTCATCGCACAAGACAGCGTTCAAGATACAATATAGTTTAGGCTTGCAAGACGAGGTACAATATGTCTTCCTTTATCTACTGTATATGTACTTGGCATAGATATCAGCAAGTTGTTCTTATCAAAGCATAATAACAATCAAGATCTTATGCATTTTTAATTTGCACAAAATCCATGAACACAATGTTATTTATGTTTCCTTTTCAATGTGTTAGATTTTGCACCAGTTTATATTATCACGATGCTAGGTCGTATTGATGGACTAAGTAGCTTTGGAGGCCCAGCACACTCATTTTTCTAATAAGATAGAGAAAAACGGCGGTTCAATGACTCAAGAGTAGCGGTATATAACATATAGTATCCGAGTAAATTGATGTGTGTGCCCTCAAAAGAAAATAATGAGGCAAATGAAATGAAATTGTGAAATGGGGATCAAAGTTACGAAGTCTGCGTATCACAAACAAGCCATCAAAAGACAAACTCAAAAAGCAGGCAACATATCCTATGGGAGATTATACAGTATTAAAAAATAACCAACTAGATACAGGTAAAATAGAAGGAACTAAAACTTCAATCTTGCTGAAGTATCTTTATAATTGTTGGAAATACAAAAACATGTATATGACATACACCGAGCAACATTTTACAAGAAACAAAGAACACGGGTGTGCATGACGATTAAACAGAGAAAGAAAACGGACACCATGCATGGCTATTTAATTCATTAAATTGTTTCTAGACATTTTTATAGAAGAAGAAGAAGAAATTAAGAGGAAGATGATGTACATGTTTATTTAACACGGGCTTTTTCTTTTACCCTGATTTTGATTTAAACAGTAATCGCTATTGACCCACCATTCGCGGTAGGTACATACGGGGACACCAGTGAGGAGAGGTTACGGTAGAAACCGTAAGGTTACGGTAATAACCGTAACTCCGCCCTCTACATCCAACATGGCTACTGTAATAGCAAAAAGCGACGATGAAGCTGAAAAAATGATTTTACAACTTGAAACTTAAAACAGTGTCCGATTTGTGGCAAGGAAAAATAAGAAGAAGGGTGTAAGCTGGGCTACGGTAAATACTTTTGCTGCTTAGTTTATTTACTGCTTTTTATATATATTAATTTCGAAACACACGTTCAACAGGACGTTTCGTCCCAAAACTAAATCGGCCCAAATACATTTCAGCCTTTTTCTATGTTAAGCAATACGTGAATTGCCGACCAATGACAATGTTTTGTTTTTATAATATTCATGTGGTTCAATTTGCTTTGTAAGATAAAATATGCTCTGTTAGTATCATGTTTTGCTGATGTCTTTCAGAGCTCTGGACTGATGAGGCTTTAGCCGTTTAGGAAAAAATGGAAGGAAATATCTAGCCGTACAGCTAGCCAAAAGTTCAAGCCATATGTGAGTCACTTACATGTATCTACTGTATTAGCCTAATTAATTTGGCGTGAACGGTTTGACCCATTTTACAGACTTTTTTTTTCTTACTGTCAAAAAGACAGCGCCCGTCCAAAATTATCTCGCTGTCTCTTTGACAAGTCTAATAAGTTGGACTACTACTGTATATACCTACACTGGCAACCCACTATTACATACCATCTAGTCTTGAAATATCTAATTATAAATACCTACCTACACTTCTTGGCCACTATTACCTGCTATCTAGTCTTGAAATATATTATTAGTTTAAAGATTGTTGACAGGTTATATGGCCCTATATAAATGGCTATTTGTAAATATAACCAGAGCCCCTAGGCGAGGGTTATATTGCAAACAGCCATTTATATACAGCAATATAACCTTTCAGCAATCTTTATAACAAATTTATAATACAGCAAGCATCATTTTTTAGAGAAAAAAGTAAGATTTCTTTATGAATCGACAACAGCCGTGTATATAAAACTATATAAACGTCACGATTATCCAATGAAAAGTGACGTTACAAACGTGCAGTATTATGAAATAAATTATACCTACCTACACTGCTAGCCTACTATCAAATACCATCTAGTCTTGAAATAACTAACTATTAATACCTACCTACACTGGTGGCCCACTATTAAATCCTATTTAGCCTTAGGGTAAAGTCAAAAATAATGAGGCCAAACATTTAAAGGCTACCCAGATTAATATTTTAATAGTTGTGTATATTGTTATAAGTGCTAAATATAGCATCTATCAGTGTTGTAAAATATGCCAAGTTTCAGGGACATCACGCTACAAATGAAAAAGATACAAGAAAAAAATTACCCTAAAATGTCAGGAGTGTAACACTTTTAGTGTGACATTTAACACAAATGATGATTCTCTATTCCTGATACAGAAAAACAGTTTCTTAAATGACAATTTTTGTCACATACGTTATATATCTTATGCTCTCGCAATTGCTTTTTCTTATTTTTTTTTTGTAAAATGTAGGTATCCCACCTGGTTATCCAGTCACTAAAGTCAGTGGTTGTAAAATAAAATGTACTTTAAAAAAAGCATGGTTTGTACTAACAGTAAAGTTTCTGCTTATATCTTTGTTATGAACAGCTTTTCCTTGCTTTTAACATTTTGACCATTGTATATAGTTAAGAATATAAATTCTCTTTTTTCTATGCTATAAATGTTATTGACTCGGTTTCGATTCAAAATAATGACAGTGCTCAGTGTCAGGAGTGTAACATCTTGTACTTTTACTGATTTCCTTATTGCATATAAGGTGTTATATTAATATATTCTTTCTTTTTCAAAAACATGAGTCCCAGTGATGTCAGCAGTGACATTAGTTCAAGTTAACTAAATCATGCACTTTCTGTACATGATCATCAAAGATGTCAGGAGTGTAACACTTTTTGCCATCTTTTAACCTTGTAACGATTTCAGGAATATACCATATAAATTTTGTATCTAAATATGATTCTTGCCACTATTCATAAGGAAAAGTAATTAAGTATTTGTTTTTTTTGTTTTTTTTAAGAAACCACAATGCTTAAGTTCTGTTTTTAGTATATTTACTTAAATAACATCAAAATTTCCTAAATGTCTACTATTGACAAGTATAATCATTAAAATTTAATGATAATACACTAAAGAAATTAGTGAGAAATTAAAATAATGTATATACTCTTTGCAGAACAAAGCATTTATATACAATTATTGAAGATTAAGTATGCAATATAAGTAAAATACAGTATGTAAGAATAGTGAAAAGTGTTACACTCCTGACATTTTTTTTCTTTTTCGGCAATTGTAGTTCAAACTTTGTTTTATTTTCAGCAGACTAATAAACAATTGAAGTAGATATCAAAAAAACACTATAAAACTCATGTCAACAAATATGCCAATTTTTATGATGAGATTTGATATTATTTCTAAACAGTAACCAAGTCAATAACAATAAAGACATACATGTACAGTAATTTTTTTTTCATCTATGATAATTACTGTTAATTCTGCAATCATTTTTGTTATCACATTTTTTGAATGCAGTTCCTGCATATTCAATTTTCAGTTATTGTAGTCCTTAGTCTTTTAAAACACTAACCATTTTAATTCTGCCAAAACACTGCATTTTTGCTCTGCTTTTGCTTTATACCTAACCTTAATAAAGTAGTAGCTAGTAATACTAACAATTGTGAGAGAGAGACTAACCTGAGAGGTGTGCTTACAGACAGCATTGAGTCTTATATATATAACTACTCAACAGAGCATAAAAATGAAACTCTAAGCGAGTTTGAAAATAAAATTCGCAGAAAAGGTTGGAAGATTACAGGTACTACTCCTGATGACGGCAATTGTTTCTTTTGGGCCAGCAGTGATCAGTTAGATGCCCTTGGGATGACTCAACAAAGTCACACTCAGTTGAGAAGCAAAGAAATTCATCACATGCAAAGCTTACCAAAGGTATTTATCAAGCTTAGTTTTAAAGTCATGCCTGAAATTCATTTAATTATTAATATTTTTATTTAAAAAACTTGTAATTTTATATCTTTAAATCATTGATTTCATAAAAAAAAAATACAATTTACAATTTTATTTTTCAGACTGACAAATTGGAATTAGAGCAAATCTTGGCAAGTGACTTAACCAAATATATTGAAAATATGTCAAAGAATGGATCCTATACAGACCATGTGTGTTTACAGAATATGTGCAAAGCCCTGTCTTGCAAGATAAATGTGTTCATGGGGATACTCCTAACATAACCATTGGAGATCCAAGTTAGGTTCCTTAAAGCAAGCGGAGGTGCTGACGAGTACAGTTGGCCAGCCAAAGAGGATGTTTTCCGGCAGTCCTTTGAAGATATTGTTCAGACACTCAAAATGACAATTCTTCTTCCTGAGCGCGGAATACCGCTTCAATTTTTAACTTGAATGACTTAAGATCATAGAAATCATATATTTTCAAAATAAACAGTTCCAAGTGCACATCTTGTGTCAGGAGTGTAACACAGTTTGAACAGTTACTGTTAATGTTTGTACTTTATGTAGTTTAAATTTGTAGCTTCTTTTTATCTTTTTATTTAAATAAATGTTCTCTTAAACCAGTATGGTTTTCTACCAGGGGTAGAAAGCAAGTAGAACATATATAAAAAAGAAAATGTTTACACTCAGATGGTTCACATATATATAGTAAAGGTTTGAAAAAGGTCACTTATTTTTCAACAAAATGTTTTTAAAAAGGCAAGATAAACAAAAAGGAACAATTAACATAGAAAACTTATACTTGTCTTAAGTATTTCATTAAAAAATATTTTAAATCAATATTTTAAGATATTAAGTCGCTTGCCTGAATGTGTCAGGAGTGTAACACTCAAATGTTAAATTGAAATTGTGCATTTTTTTGTGAAATAGATTCTTCATGGTACGAATCATTTTCATATTTTCCTTTTGGTTAGGAACAGAAGCTTAATTAATGTTTATAACCTTTATTTCCATTTTTTTTGCTAATTGTTTACATGTTATAAACTTGTTTTCGGTTTTAAGTGTAACTTCATATCTTTGCTCTAAGAATTATTCTCAAATGTAATAACCTATCAGTATGTTTTCAAACATCAGTGTTGTTCTGTACATGTGTTTCTTATGTTATTTTTACCTCCAATGTTTCTGTAAAGAACTTTTATCGTTTAAATAACTTATGCCAGTCATGTCAGGAGTGTAACGCTTTTTTTATAAAATACAAGTTAAATTTGACTGCTTATTATTTTTTTTTTGAGAGGTTGAAATATTTGGAAACTTTATTTTACATCAAAGTAATTATTAATACATACTAACAACTACTTTTTTATTTCTCTGCCCAATTTTCTCCAACTTTAGAAAAACTTGATGTTCTTACATTAAAGAAAATCAGACTTAAGTAACAAAACAATAGCATTTTTTTTTCTGTTGTAAAACTACTGATAAAAAAATGGTATATTTTTTATCCGTACATCACTACTGTTACTAAAATATAACAACACATTTGATTTAATTAACATTAGGAAGTATAGTGACACAATTTTATAAAGCATTGGTTTTGTTAATTTTTGTTAATAAGTTGAAATAAAATGTTGATTTATACAATTTGTGTTGTGTTAGATAAAATCCAATTACTCGGCATTAAACATCAATCAATATCACATGGTTTTAGGTGAAAAATAAGTAGAAATATGAAATTTCAATTTTGACCCTATTTTCAAATTTTTGCCTCATTATTTTTGACTTTACCCCTTAGCATATCTCATAATAATACCTACCTGCCCTTGTTGGCCACCATTACATGCTATCTAGTTTTGAAATATCTTAGCATTAATACCTACATGTACCTAGGCTACACTGGTGACCCTATATTAAATCTTATTTAGCCTTAATATATCTCATTGACTCATTATAATACCTACCTACACTGGTGTCCCAGTATTATATACCGTCTTGAAATATCTAAACATTAATAACTATCTACACTGGTAGGCCATTATTACAAACTATTTAGACTTGAAATATTTAATTATTAATGTAACTTACCTACACTGGTGGGCCACTCTTAAATCCTATATATCCTTAACATATCTTATTTTAATACCTACATACACTGGTGGGCCACTTTTATATACCATCTAGTCTTGAAATATCTAATCATTTATACCTACCTACACTAGAGGCCTACTATTAAATCTTATTCAACCTCACTATACCTCATTATAAATACCTACCTACACTGGTGAGCCACTATTTATACAAACTATCTAGTCTTAAAATATCTAATCATTAATACCTACCTACACTGGTGGCCCACTATTAAATCCTAAATGTCATTAACATATCTTACTATAATACCTACCTACACTGGTGGGCCACTATTACAAACTATCTTGTCTTGAAATATCTTATTATTAATACCTACCTACATTGGTGGGCCACAAATACAAACTATCTAGTCTTGAAATATCTTATTATGAATACCTACCTACACTGGTGGGCCACTATTACAAACTATCTAGTCTTGAAATATCTTATTATTAAAACCTACCTACACTGGTGGGCCACTATCACAAACTATCTAGTCTTGAAATATCTTATTATGAATACCTACCTACACTGGTGGGCCACTATTACAAACTATCTAGTCTTGAAATATCTTATTATTAATACCTACCTACACTGGTGGGCCACTATTACAAACTATCTAGTCTTGAAATATCTTATTATTAATACCTACCTACACTGGTGGGCCACTATCACAAACTATCTAGTCTTGAAATATCTTATTATGAATACCTACCTACACTGGTGGGCCACTATTACAAACTATCTAGTCTTGAAATATCTCCTTATTAAAACCTACCTACACTGGTGGGCCACTATCACAAACTATCTAGTCTTGAAATATCTAATCATTAATACCTACCTACACTGGTGGCACACTATTAAAATCTTATTCAGCCTTACTATACATCATTATAAATACCTACCTTCACTGGTGGGCTACTATTACAAACTATCTTGTCTTGAAATATCTTGTAATTAATACCTACCTACACTGGTGGGCCACTATCACAAACTATCTAGTCTTGAAATATCTTATTATGAATACCTACCTACACTGGTGGGCCACTATTACAAACTATCTTGTCTTGAAATATCTTATTATAAATACCTACCTACACTGGTGGGCCACTATCACACACTATCTAGCTTTGAAATATCTAATCATTAATACCTACCTACACTGGTGGCGCACTATTAAAATCTTATTCAGCCTTACTATACATCATTATAAATACCTACCTTCACTGGTGGGCTACTATTTCAAACTATCTTGTCTTGAAATATCTTGTTATTAATACCTACCTACACTGGTTGGCCACTATTACAAACTATCTAGTCTTGAAATATCTTATTATTAATACCTACCTACACTGGTGGGCCACTATTACAAACTATCTAGTCTTGAAATATCTTATTATGAATACCTACCTACACTGGTGGGCCACTATTACAAACTATCTTGTCTTGAAATATCTTATTATTAATACCTACCTACACTGGTGGGCCACTATCACACTATCTAGCTTTGAAATATCTAATCATTAATACCTACCTACACTGGTGGCGCACTATTAAAATCTTATTCAGCCTTATTATACATCATTATAAATACCTACCTTCACTGGTGGGCTACTTTTTCAAACTATCTTGTCTTGAAATATCTTGTTATTAATACCTACCTACACTGGTGGGCCTTAGTACAAACTATCTAGTCTTGAAATATCTTATTATTAATACCTACCTACACTGGTGGGCCACTATTACAAACTATCTAGTCTTGGAAAATCTAATCATTTATACTTACTACACTGGTTGGCCACTATTAAAATCTTATTCAACCTTACTATACCTCATTATAAGTATCTACCTACACTGGTGGGCTACTATCACAAACTATCTAGTCTTGAAATATCTTATTTTTAATACCTACCTACACTGGTGGGCCACTATTACAAACAATCTAGTCTTGAAATATCTTATTATAAATACCTACCTACACTGGTGGGCCACTATTACAATATATCTAGTATTGAAATATCTTATTATTAATACCTACCTACACTGGTGGGCCACTATTACAAACTATCTAGTCTTGAAATATCTTATTTTGAATACCTACCTACACTGGTGGGCCACTATTACAAACTATCTAGTCTTGAAATATCTTATTATGAATACCTACCTACACTGGTGGGCCACTATTACAAACTATCTAGTCTTGGAAAATCTAATCATTAATACCTACCTACACTGGTGGGCCACTATTAAAATCTTATTCAACCTTACTATACCTCATTATAAATACCTACCTACACTGGTGGGCCACTATCACAAACTATCTAGTCTTGAAATATCTTATTATGAATACCTACCTACACTGGTGGGCCACTATTACAAACTATCTAGTCTTGGAAAATCTAATCATTAATACCTACCTACACTGGTGGGCCACTATTAAAATCTTATTCAACATTACTATACCCCATTATAAATACCTACCTACACTGGTGGGCCACTATTACAATATATCTAGTATTGAAATATCTTATTATAAATACCTACCTACACTGGTGGGCCACTATTACAAACTATCTAGTCTTGAAATATCTCATTATTAATACCTACCTACACTGGTGGGCCACTATTACAAACTATCTAGTCTTGAAATATCTTATTATTAATACCTACCTACACTGGTGGGCCACTATTACAAACTATCTAGTCTTGAAATATCTTATTATTAATACCTACCTACACTGGTGGGCCACTATTACAAACTATCTAGTCTTGGAAAATCTAATCATTAATACCTACCTACACTGGTGGGCCACTATTAAAATCTTATTCAACATTACTATACCCCATTATAAATACCTACCTACACTGGTGGGCCACTATTACTAACTAACTTGTCTTGAAATATCTCATTATTAATACCTACCTACACTGGTGGCCCACTATTAAATCTTATTCAACCTTATTTACCTCATTATAAATACCTACCTACACTGGTGGGCCACTATTACAAACTATCTAGTCTTGAAATATCTTATTATTAATACCTACCGGTACACTGGTGGGCCTATTATTACAAACAATCTAGTCTTGAAATATCTTATTATTAATACCTACCTACACTGGTGGGCCACTTTTACAAACTACAAAAATTTAGGTAGATTTAATCACTTGTGAAAATTTCTAAGGTGATGGTTAAAATGTGCTGAAATTAAGGTTGTTGTAGACTAAAGATAATTTGGAATAAGATGGAATAACAATGTATTAGTCAGGTGTTATTCTGTTACATGAAATATGTTCATTATTTTTAATCTATAAGATAATTGTTCAAATGGTTATTGCCTTTAGATCACTTGTATCTCAGAGCTTTGAATCACAGCAGAGACTTTGGGTTCTTTTATGTGAGGAAGCCATCCAGCTAGCTAACTGAACCTCTGTGGTTCTACTCAGGTGCCTGTTTGTGCCTGAAAAAAATGCACCGAAGGACATTTAGGGTCTTCTTTCATAAGTAAAGTTGGAAAGTTGCCATATGACCTATACTCTGTTTGTGTGACTTAGAACTAAAGCAGAAAAAATAAGTAAATAAAATGAAAAGCTTAAACTAGGGTTGCATATTACATATACTTGTATGATAATTATATGAAAATGGTTGAATCTCTTTTATTTAATGTGAGTTACAACTGTTTGTTGCAGGATTCGCTCTGGCCCGCCTGCTTAGCTCCATAGGGAGAGCATTTAATAAATAATCCAGGGTTTATAGTTCAACATTATCTCTCTCACTGCTGATTAAAAAATCATGTAGAAGTAGTAGATCACTTATATAGAAATTGGTAGTTACTAGTTAATTTTCCAGGAATGTCATTTAGGTAAATCATCTGCAAAGGTATAAACCAAAAAAAATGTGTTAAAATCTGTGTTAAAACCCTCAAGACAGGAAATATTTTGTATCAAGTACTAAAATATCACATTGTGTTAATCTTACATGTAAGAGGTAATATCTATATTCCAGAGAGCTGAACAAGTTTGGTTGAAAATCATGGATGATTTTAGCAATTGTCATCAAAGAACTTCTGGTTACTGTTAAGTTTGATTATGAAACTATCAACTAACCACTTCCAAAACAAATTGCTTATTTGTGGATTTTAGGATTTCTAGGTAAGTAAATCATTTCCAAAACTAATTCCAACAACAAATGGTACAGTCTGGTACTTGTAGGTTGGTCTTAAATGTCAAATGTATAACTTATTTCAGGATATTAGGCATTAAGCCATTATACAAATAAAAAGTATATTTCCTGCCCCTTCTGTCTATATATAGGTTGGCTATTACTTTCAAGAAGTTGTTTAAAAAAAATTGGTGTTCTTTTGTATACTACATGATTGTATAAGAAAAGAGCTGACAAAATTGGCAATCAGATATCAAATTTTGTAGGCCCTAATGATGCAACTTAAGTAATATTTCCTGACCTTAAGTCTAAACATAGGTTTGCTATTTTAAAAGTTGCAGATAATGTTAAATCAATTAATTTTGCAAGAATCAGGTACAAGAAGAAAGCATGACAAGTCTGTTTTAAATAGCACTTTACCTGCTCAACTTGTGAAATAGATATTGACCTTGCTTTGAATTTAGAACCGCTAATTCAAAGTTTAGGTGAATTAGAAAATAAACTAAAAAATTGAGCTGCCAACAGTTGAGGACTTGGTAAGACTCCACAAAAGTGCAGGTTGGCCTGCTCTTTACTGTGACAAAGGCTGATGGCCCCATGTTCCACCAGGTTAAGGGTTCAAGTGTCTGGAAGAATGAGGGTTGCATATTGATTATTACACATGACATGTATTTAACTTATGAATATTTTGTTTCTCATGATTTTTTTTTGACATTAAATTTTTTTTTCTTCTTTTCAGGTCTGGTTGGGTATACAGTATGGAAGTTTTATATTAAGCGGATGTGAAAAACCAAATCAAGGGTAATGGATGACACCATCAATGAAACAGAGCAGAAATATAGCACAACAATAATGACAATAGTGTACACAAACACAAGAAATGGATCAGCTTGAAATTAATGGATTTTTAGCAGTTATAGATTTTTTTAAGTTACAGTATGTTTCATTTGTAAATGATGTTTTAAATATTAGTCAGAACTGCTTTTTTCCATTGTTATAAGGTATATGTTGTAAAATTTTGCTAATGTCAAATTTTTTACCTGTTTAAATAACTCTAATTTTCACATAAACCCCGGCACATGAGTGTAATAAAGCCATTTGATAAATCAATATTACTCTAGTGTAATAACACTTTGTCATGACGTCATAGATTGCGCGCTAATGTTAGCGTAACACTATAGGCGCGTCAATGAAAATGACTCACTTTAACTTTAAGCCGTTCTCTTTTTGGGTATGTGGTAAATAGAATATTATATTCTTATAGGTTCCATACTAAATTTATTGAACAAGTTGAATAAAACAATATTCTCGCCAGAGGCTCGTATAATATTATTTTATTCACCTCCTTCAATAAATTTAGTGTTAAACCTTAGTAACATGTACCCTCTATTTAGGATGCTTTTTGAAGAAATTTACTGAAAGTAGCTTGTTTTTATACTGTAAATTAAAACTAATATTCATGCTATTGATATATTTTTTTAAGAAACCTCTTTAAAGTTAAAGTAATGATATATGTACTTACACAGAATCAAATCCTTTTTATTATCAAAAAATTTAGCTCTTTATATAGATTCTATATTGATAGAAGTTAAAATTGTAGCTGTTATTTATTTTTTTTGATACTGGAGACAGATAATGTGTAACAATCGTAATTATTATATTTCTTTTTAGCTCACCTGTCACAAAGTGACAGGGTGAGCTTTTGTGATCGCTTTTCGTCCGGCGTCCGTCCGGCGTCCGTCCGGCGTCCGTCCGTCCGTAATCTTTTACTTTAAATGACATCTCCTCATAAACCACTAAGCAAATTTCATCCAAACTTCACAGGAATGTTCCTTTGGTGGTCACCTTTAAAAATTGTTCAAAGAATTTAATTCCATGCAGAACTCTGGTTGCCATGGCAACCAAAAGAAAAAACTTTAAATATCTTCTTTTAAAAAACCATAAGAGCTAGAGCTTAGATGTTTGGCATGAAACATGTTCTAGTGCGTGTCTACCAAGTTTGTTCAAATAAAAGCCCTGGGGTCAAAATTGGCCCAGCCCCGGGGGTTCATTGATTTTCCCTATATGCATATAGTAAAAACTTAAAAAATCTTCTTTTAAAGAACCGAAAGAGCTAGAGCTAAGATATTTAGCATGAAACATGTTCTAATAGGTGTCTACCAAGTTTGTTCAAATAAAAGCCCTGGGGTCAAAATTGGCCCCGCCCCAGGGGTCATTGATTTTCCCTATATGCATATAGTAAAAACTTTAAAAATCTTCTTTTAAAGAACCAAAAGAGTTAGAGATAAGATATTTAGCATGAAACATGTTCTAATAGATGTCTATCAAGTTTGTTCAAATAAAAGCCCTGAGGTCAAAATTGGCACCGCCCGGGGGTCATTGATTTTCCTTATATGTGTATAGCAAAAACTTAAAAAATCTTCTTTGAAAAAACCCAAATAGCTAGAGCTAAGATATTAAGCATGAAACATCTTTTAGTGGGTGTCTACAAAGTTTGTTCAAATAAAAGACCTGGGGTCAAAATTGGACCCGCCCCGGGGGTCATTGATTTTCTTTATATGTGTATAGCAAAAACTTAAAATCTTCTTTGAAAAAACCCAAATAGCTAGAGTTTAGATATTAAGCATGAAACATATTCTAGTAAGTGTCTACAAAGTTTGTTTCAAATAAAAGCCCCTGGGGTCAAAACTGGACGGCCCCAGGGGTGTCATTGTTTTTAACTATATTGTGTATAGTAAAAAACTTTAAAAAAAAATCTTCTTTTAAAAAGCCCCTAATGAGCTAGAGCTTAGATGTTTAGCATGAAACATCTTTCTTATGGGTGTGTCTACCAAGTTTGTGCAAATAAAAAAGCCCTTGGGTTAAATTGCCCTGCAACGTTGGGGTGGTGGGGTTGGGGGGGGGCTATTATACAGATGAAGCGACCTCAGCGGCCATCATGGCCCTCTTGTTTGTTGTGTGTTTTGACACAACAGTTTTTTTTGCATGCAGCAGTCTATCCATCTGTTAGCTGGCAAATGTAAGCTTCCAATATACAAATACTGTAGTAGTATGTTTTTGTGCAAGGGGGGGTTCATTGTCCAAAAAAAGGTCAAGGTTAGACTTGGGGATATATTTGGATTTAACTTACTGTTAAAAATTCAATTTACCATATTGAGAAATTTTTTATATTAGCATAATATAACAATCTGTACACACATTGTGAACATACTAGATCAACACCAAAGTGAACATTTTTTGTCACCTCAGTGCAGTAACAGATTAAGTTAACCCATTACTGCATTAATGTTAAAATGGCGTATTCTGTAAAAAGATTTTGTTGCTTACTTCAATGTATTTTCTGTTATAAATATAAACACATACAGATTCAAACATATTCAAAAACTAAGTACTAAAAATGGTCAATTAAAGAACATTTTCAGACACCCCAATTACAATGAGATGAAATATTTTGCCAAAACTGTAGGTAGTAAATAAGATATATAAGGACATAATGTGATATAATAGTCGCTCACCAATGTAGGTAGGTATAATTAATTAGATATTTTTCAAGACTAAATAGTTTGTAATAGTGGCCCACCAGTGTAGGTAGGTTTTAGTTTAATAAGATATTTCAAGACTAGATAGTTTGTAATAGTGGCCCACAAGTGTAGGTAGGTATTCATAATGATGTAGAGAAAGGTTGAATAAGATTTTAATAGTGACCCACCAGTGTAGGTAGGTGTTAATGATTAGAAATTTCAAGACTAGATAGTTTGTAATAGTGGCCCACCAGTGTAGGTAGGTATTTATAATAAGATATTTCAAGACTAGATAGTTTGTGATAGTGGCCCACCAGTGTAGGTGTTAATGATTAGATATTTCAAGACTAGATAGTTTTGTAATAGTGGGCCCACCAGTTGTAGGTACTGGTATTTATAATAAGATATTTCAAGACTAGATATTTTGTAATTAGTGGCCCACCAGTGTAGGTGTTAATGATTAGATATTTCAAGACGTAGATAGTTTGTAAATAGTGGCCCACCAGTGTAGGTAGGTATTTATAATAAGATATTTCAAGACTAGATAGTTTGTAATAGTGGCCCACCAGTGTAGTGTTAAATGATTAGATATTTCAAGACTAGATAGTTTGTAAGTAGTGGCCCACCAGTGTAGGTGTTAATGATTAGATATTTCAAGACTAGATAGTTTTAATAGTGCCCACCAGTGGTAAAAGGTGTTAATGATTAGATATTTCAAGACTAGATAGGTTTTGTAATAGTGGCCCACCAAGTGTAGGTAGGTGTTAATGATTAGATATTTCAAGACTAAGATAGTTTGTAATAGTGGCCCACACAGTGTAGGTGTTAATGATTAGATATTTCAGGACTAGATAGTTTGTAATAGTGGCCCACCAGTGTAAGTAGGTATTGTATAATAAGAATTTCAAGACTAGTTGGATTGTTAGTGGCCCACCAGTGGTAGGGTAGGTATTTAATTATAAGATATTTCAAGAATTAGATAGTTTGTAATACTGACCCACCAGTGTAGGTAGGTATTTATAATGAGGTATAGTAAGGCTGAATAAGATTTTTATTAGTGGCCCACCAAGTGTAGGTAGGTATTCATAATAAGATATTTCAAGACTAGATAGTTTGGGATAGTGGCCCCACCAGTGTAGGTAGGTATTTATTAATGAGGTTATAGTAAGGTTGAATAAGATTTTGATAGTGGGCCCACAGTGTAGGTAGTATTAATGATTAGATTTTCCAAGACTGAGATAGTTTGTAATAGTGGCCCACCAAGTTTTAGGTAGGGGTATTTATAATAAGATATATTAAAGGCTTAATAGGAATTAATAGTGGGCCACCAGTGTAGGTAGGATATTCCAAGACTAGATATTATATCAATAGATGGCACCAGTTAAGTTGGGGTAATAATAGTTAGGGAGATAAGGACTAGATGGTATGTATTGGTTGTTGCCCACTTGTGTTTGGTAGGTAAATAAATAATGAGATTTATAATTATTGAGGACAAAAAGATTGCAATATTTAGGCCACCAGTGTAACGTAGTTTAATAATTATAAGATTATATAAGGACAAAAAGTATGTTGATATTACAGTGGTAGATATAATAAATTTGGCCCTGTAATGAATAGTCATTATTATTAATAAGATTTTAATTCATTTAACATAAACTCGTTTTACATTCATATATTAAGTTTCCCAAATCATGTAATGAGAGCTTGCCTTTTTATAAATGAAATATATTGTTTGAGACGGATAATACATGGTTTTACAACTTTTAAATGACCATACACATTTGATAAGTAAACTTTTAGTAGCTCCACTATTTACCAAAAGACTTAACGTCTTTACTTAAACATCCAATGCCACTTAAAATTATGAAAACCAATTGTGCAAAAAAAAATTGCCATAAAATTTACATTCATGCTAATTACCTAAAAGTTTTTATTTACTTCTATTTCTTTCCTTTTTAATGTTATACCGCCAACATTTACCTTCTATTTTTGATTGCCAGTCTATATGCCCAACATGATTTAGGTTTCTGAAAAACTTGGTTCAACACCAATGTTATCACTATCGTGTGATTTTCTTTATTTTAAAAAAAGGAAAACTTTAAGTTGGTCCTTCTATATTTTGTGTTTTAAAGAATGCTTCAATTTTTCAATTTTTGCATTTATGTGTAATTTAAAACTGTTCAAGGGATTCCCAACTTTGTTTTTTATTTATAACCATAATGATCCCTTTTATTTTTATTTATCAAATGTTCTTGCAAAACAGGTGCATGACATATATTTAGGATTGGGCCTGTCATTCCCCAGTATTTTACCATTTATTGTGTCGCCTCTACGGAGTATGTGGCGACATATTAGGGATCACTTTCTTCCGTCGTCTGTCTTGTCCTCTGTCTGTCTGTCCTGTCCTTTCTGTCTGTCTGTTCCGTCCGTCCGTCACAAAACTTGTCCGGACTACTGCCTCCATAAACTACTGGTGCAATTTCATCCAAACTTTACAGGTGAATGATCAGTACCCAAGTCCTAGGTTGTGCATATTGTCAGCATTTTTCCGGTTCAAAATGATTTTAGTCAGAGTAATGGCCTCTGGAATAATTTTTAATTTTTTAAAGTTTGTCCCGGACTACTTCTCTTATACCACTAATGCCCAATTTCAAATGAAAACTTACAGGATTGGATCTGTAGCTCAAGTCCCTTTGCCGCATATTGCACGGGTTTTCCGGTTGAATGATTTTTTTGGCCGAGTTATGGCCCTTTGACAAAAAGGTGTGTTTTTTTCTGTGTGTTGCCCAGATACACAAAAAGCTTCTCCGGGGACTACTCCTTTCATAAAACTAATGGTTTGCAATTTCAAATCCAAACTTTACAGGAATGATCATACCAAGTTTAGTTGTGCATTTGTCAGCATTTTCCGGTTTCAATGATTTTTGTCAGAGTTTGGCCCTTTTAATAATTTTTTAATTTTTAAAGTTTGGGTTCCCGGACTACTTCTCAAATACCACTAATGCAATTTCAAATGTGAAAACTTTACAGGATTGATCTGAGCTTC